GTAAAACCCGTCATTAGTTCAGTAGGATCACAACAACGCCCGAGTCTAGGGAGAATCAATCCGTGCGCAAGCGCGATAGTCCGCGAGTACAGTAGTACTAGTTTAAGTTGAATTGTTTAACATCACTTAGATACGAAATGTAGAGATTATGAATAACACAACAGAGCTTGAGCAGCTCAAGTTTTGTTGTGTAACCCATAACCTCTGTTCAGTTGTCGAGTAGAAGATGCACGCTTCAGCTGCTCGTCGACTTGACTTGGAACACAGCAACATCGTGTGTAATAACACGGTTTCTCCCTGCACAGAGTCCTCATTAGAGGCTATCGTCGATAGCCTATCGACGACGAACTCTCGTTCAACCCAACATCGCTTTCTCTACCAGAACTCGTATCAGTATCCAGTATCGTGGAGTTATAGTGATGGAACAAACCGATGATAAAGATCCAAATAAGATTCTCTGAAACACGTAAAATACTCGAAAGGTATCGAGCTACGGACTTCGTATCGAAATCAATTATCGGAGGCATCACAGGCATATCTTGTAATCTCGTACGGTCTTTACTATTTCTCAATAAGTCTGATGCTCACGGTCTTTATCACAGGCACAACAGTCTGGTAGCAGCTCCTTGTTGATCGACGACGAGCCCAACGACGAATAATACTGGTGATAGTCGCCCCCAGGCTGATGAAGCCGCCCCCTTGAGGATTAGTCTCTCGATACCCCCTGCCTTCAACGGTATCTCCGGTAGCTTTGAGGATTGGCTACGACGTTATGAACAATGTGCCCTTGCCGCCGGATGGTGCACTCAACAGCAAGCAGAACGCCTTGGTCTGTACTTAAAGTAACCTTTTCTCTCTGGTTGGGATGCTTATGCTGAGAGGGTCAACTTCGGGGAAGGTAAGATATGAAGATATTTGATCATGTGCGTCCTCACCAAGCCCTGAAACAGCTCCAAGAACTACGCTGGTCCACAGGTCAGCACCCTGCCCTCTATGCTGCAGCTCTACAACGACACCTCAAGCGGTACTATACCAAGGAGTAGTTCCCTGAGCTCTCTGAAGCGGACAGGACTGAGAACATGGAGGAGATCATCGACCGACTGAAAGCAGATCTACCCCCCATGGTCCGGTTCCAGGTCCGGTTCCATAACGCCTGGACTCGATACTAGCTCGATCCGTAGCTGGACTCGATACTTCTGAACTTTTCGAGTTTCGAGGCTCGATCTCGAATCGATTCGGTCCCAGAAGTTATACAATCGATTGGTCCAATATCGATACCGGGAACCGAGAATCGATCTCGAATCGATTCCTTCGATTAAGGGGCGCCAGTTCGATCCAGGGCTCCGGCATTTTTTTGTATATTTCTATTTCGAAAAGATGCGCACAATGGAACCACTGAAACCCGGCACCTGCTCATCCGCGCCCCCAAATTCGTCGCCCTTTAGGTACTCAATCCGGCCCTAAATTGCTCAATCCGCCCCTAGATGACTCGTACCGGCCCCTAACTTTTCAAGCTACCCGAGCGTCCCTGAAGCTTCACTGCAAGCATGTCACGTGTCTTTGTTGACTGCCATGACATCTTGAGGAAAACTCTTGTGCGTCACGCTTGCCCTTGGACGTCTCAAAGATGCATGTTCGAACTTGACCAGCCACTGGCTTGACTGTTTCGAAACCTTGGCAGGCGCAATGATCAATCTAGTTTCACATCGTTGTGTTGAGCCGTGCTATCTACTGACTTTGGCCGTCTCAAATATACATGTTCGAACTTGACCAACCACTGGCTTGAATGTTTCGAAACCTTGGCAGACGCAATGATCAATCTAGTTTCACATCGTTGTGTTGAGCCGTGCTATCTACGGACCTTGGCCGCCTCGAACACGTACTAAGCGTATTGAACTCCACCACGTTACTACATTCATTAGCTAAGCACACTGGTATGGGCCACTGAGACAGAGACTGTGCCATGTATGTCAGTCTCAGAGAAGCTGGTACGATAGCGGATGACTTATCCAACTTCAGAACGCGTGTGGCATATTTGAGCAATTTAGGGGCTGATTGAGTAATTTAGGGGCGGGGCAAAGAATCCGGATTCTAGAACCTATGCTATGTGCGATAACTATTAGGGTTATTAGGCTACTAGGGATATTGAATTTGCGTTGTGGATTATGCTCAGGAATAGTATTTGGATAATATTCTTCTGAATTACCGAAGAACAATCTCGAGGGTTCGTCAAGGCTCGAGGAAAACGCGCAATCTGACCGAACCCGGGGAATACCATCCTTCCGACCCGGGGAGTCGGCATCTGCAGAATATCTGGCTCTCGCCGCAATTGGCAGCGTGCCGCAGCGAATCGATTCACCTCGGGCGAACAGCAAGGTCGTGCGCGGGTATTCAGTATCTCGTTGATAGAGTCTATCCGAGTCAGATAATCAGACAGCCTTCCAGTGCCTGTGGCTATCAACTGAGCGGTCCAGCCTCGACCCTTACTTTTTCTTCGCGAGGAAGTGCTTTGCTAAAGGCATCCTGAATTGTCGCAATAATATGATAGGTGCTGTAGACCCTATAAGTAACCCTCAATGCTGACGTAGAAGAGCCTTTCAATGGATTTCGAATCTCGAGGTGGATCGATTTCTCGAATCGAATCGATTCGTCTGCCCCCCGCAGCATCCTCGATTGGTTAGCACCGAACAATCGATCGACTTTCGATATCTCGATCCAATCGAGCCTCGATCAATTGTCCTATCGAAGTCCTTCCCTAGGACGTCTTATACGTCGTCCCAGACGGATCGGCTACATGGATATCAAATAAGATAATATGCTCCACCCATGGTCCTCCACAGTTTCCTCGATTTCACGTCGCAACGTGATGATCGTAGGACCTTTCCCGGCTTTTCCAGCAAACTTTTCATCTTTCTTGGCCAACTTATGGCACTTCTTTCTTATTTTGTCTAAGTATAACAATTGGATTTTACCCTCTTGACAGGCTACTACCCCGTTCGAGGCGTGGTTTTCTCTTCTTGGAGAGTGTTGCTCTCCACCGAATAATTTTTCTTGATTTTCCGAGCTTCCTGACTCAGGAATCCTGAGCTAGCGGCTGGGGAATCCGCGCTCACGAAGTCGTCTGAACGAACCCCTTCCCGTTGAGTCCTCCCCCTCTGCCCCTCCGACTTACTGTGAACTATTTCCGCCACCGCGGTAAACATCATGTCTCTCACTCTCTCCGTGAATCCCGTGAGTCATTCCTCCAACTATACGGTTGTGATAGAACCAGGCCCTTGCCCGAGAGGTTGGGGACTACTTGCCAGATTTTGTGGTAGGTCCGCTCGGTTGGAAGCTTGAACGATCACATTACCTTCGTCGTCGGTAGGAGGCGTTGCCTCAACCGCACCAGCCATCGCATCATTAGGGGAGGCTTGACCGGGAGACGCTCTTAACGGTTAGGAGGCTACATCGGCTCCTGAAGGAGGTGAGCTATTGGCTCTGCGAGAGGCACGTCTCGCTCTGTCGCTGATAGATTGGGATCTAGGTGGCATAAAGATCCCGGTAGAATGTTCCTTTTTAGAGAGCGGATCTCCGTGGTGACCCTCCTATGTGATTGCCATCCGTTCGAAATTGATCACTTCCATTGAGCAATCCATAGAGTGAATCCCCTTGGTGATCTTCCTATGTGATTGCCATCCGTTCGAAATTGATCACTTCCATTGAGCAATCCATAGAGTGAATCCCCTTGGCGATCTTCCTATGTGATTGCCATCCGTTCGAAATTGATCATTTCCATTGAGCAATCCATAGAGTGAATCCCCTTGGTGACCCTCCTATGGGATTGCCATCCGTTCGAACTTGATCATTTCCATTGAGCAATCCATAGAGCGAATCCCCTTGGTGACCCTCCCATGTGAATCACATGATGTGATTGCCACCCTTTCTACCCTCACTCCTGTTCACTGAGCAATCCATTGAGTTGGTCTCCCCTGTGGTGATCTTCCCATGTGATCGCCTTTCAACGTATATATATGCCCTGCAAAAACTGGACTGGCTCGTCAAACAGCTGTCATCAGAAAATTTGGATCTTGAGGAATGTGTGCCATTTCTTGTCCACGATTCCCATCAGGGGGCTCTGAAAGCTGGTAAACGAGTGCTCCCGGAGGCCAGGAATGGTAATTGAGACTGTCGAATCCGGCTCTCGCAGCGAGGGTCTCGCTTAAACTGGATCTCTGTCGTAGGGCGATGTTACTTCCACATGACAAAGAATATAAAGGATAGAAAAAAATCTTCGGTTTATCGTACGATCTGGTAAGTATCCTGGGGATTTGTCTAACCAACTTCCGTATGATACTGATATCACCATGCAATGCAATGATTGCATACGACAGCCCGCCATCGATAGGTGAAGAACACGCTATATCTACTACACACGAGTCCCGCCGACGAGGTGTACAGGATGTTGAGCTCAGCTCTCATTGAGCAAGCAAAGGAATTGTGCGATACAGCCGAGAAGTATTTGAAGGAAACTCTAGACCCGGCGAAGTGCGGATATCCGAATTTATACTTCTCGGCTGAAGGACTCACCAATGCACAGGTAATCCAAGTTTGAATCGCGGGATGCGAAATCAAGGAATTCATTTCACTTCAGGTCACGACAAATGTGGTTGAGAGTTGGCACAAGAAAATTGCGAACTGCCTCAATGATGAGAGATTGAATCTTGCCCAGTTCGTAAACAACATAGTCATGGTGAGGTTATGGCCGTTGAATGAATGCTTAGTTGATCGGGTCTATTGGAACCGTATTAGCAATACGGTATCAGATCCAAAATTTACACGAAGGTCCTCACTTTGTGAACTGGCCAATGAGAAATCAACAGACTGGGTATACCATGTCTATGAAGGGTACTGGAACATGGTTGGTGAATTCGGGTTAATTGAAGAAGGTAGTTACTAACTCTCTAATCCTGTTCCCAGTGCCTTCTCAGGTTACTGAAGATTCTTCAGTGAAGAAGTCGAAGCTCTCTTCGAGGACGAAATTGTCGAGTCCAGATTCTTCCTTTGTCGATCTGGTATGGTATCGGTTGGTAGTCCTATAATAGGACTCTAAATCTCATATCAATCAAACTTTCATATCAAAGAAAATGAAACTGGGCAACTCGTAGATAACCGGAACAGACGATGATGAGTCAGTCCCATCATTTGTACGATTCTGACAATGGATCTCTTTTACTAACCCTTTAGATTGGCCCATCTTAAGCTTAGAAGCCCACACTAACACACTTAAAAAACTCCAAATACGTTTCACTGATCCTTCAGCCTTGAGAGTAAGGGGACTAACTTTAAGAATTAGAGTAAGACTTACTTACTCAGTTGGTGCGAACTAAGCGAGTCCTTGAAAGCTACTGGAATCTTAAGATTCATCTTGTGCGCGAAAGTGAACCACCCTCGGTGCATTCCATACCTTTCTGTCTGAGAATCATCTTCTAATACATACACTAGACTTCACTATGGATGATACAATTTGTATCATACAAACAATGTGGCCGAGTACGTTGATATACTGAATGAAGTATGCCTCGCCGAGCAACAGAAGGTCGACAACGTCGAGCACCCTTAAAGGGTGACCCTTTGGCTGACTGCATTTATCCAGTCTATGCCACCAGCGACGATGAGTTCTACCATCAGTACCGTTTTCACAAGAGGGATGCTTTGCGAGTGATCGAGGCCTTCGAGGCTTATCTACCCCCGGCCAACTGTGCGGACAGTGCTTCACCTTTCATCCGAATACTGTACGGTTTTCGGTATCTCGGATCCAGGATTTGCTACTGGTGCCCCAATAACATCGTTGGTACGTCTGCTTCAACCAGCTTCCGCTACGTTCAAGATGCCATTCATGCTTTTAACGCGCCGGAAATGGTAACCATTTGTCTCCAAACCGTTTGGAGATAGGTTTTATGATTCACCTACGACTCAGTGCTGGTGATGAGTGCATCTATCTGCCCAGCATGAGAATTGTCTTCAATACGCAGATTATCCAGCTTTTTCGAGTACTTCTCCGCACCAAAATTCGTACAATACACTTTATTAATTTCATCAACCACCTTGATCAGAAGAAAAAAGCTTGACGCACCATATCGATATAGCAGACTGATTGGATGGCCACAAGGTTGATCCTGCTGAGATCTCGTAAACCTTATGTCATTAGAATTGTCGTTGATCAGAGCTTAACCGTTGAGTAGAAGATGCGCGCTGCAGATGCTCCTCGAGTTGACTCGGAACACAACAACATCATGGACGCCGAGCGGCCAACGTACTTGCGTACAATCTAAATACGATCGAAGATAGGAGATATGGGAATAGTGTTGGACAGCGTAGACGACAAAACGACGGGGGAAAGGGTGAAAAAGACCACAAAGGCTGGAGAAGTTTGACAACCAAGACCGACAGAACCTTGAAGGTGGTCAGGTCATGATCATCAGCGAGATGCAAATGCTCTAGAAGATCCCGCACCAATGTGAGGACATGATAATGACTCTATCGACAATGGCAGCCGTGAGTGTCGCAGTGGCAATCGTATGGACAACTCTCGCAATTAGACACGTGGAGGTTAGAGCCGAGCAGGGGACCTCCTTGCGGGATCCTCTCAGTGATACCACAAGTAGTCATGATGGTCACAGCGAGGACGAGAATGGCGTAGCGCATGGGTGAGAAGTGGATAGATAGACTTCGTCGTAAAGCTGAATACGGGAACCGATGCACAAGCTCGCGATGACCAATTGATCTATCGACCAAACTCCCTGGCATCACAGACGACTGAAACACCAATTCGCTCGAAGCTAGCGAACTCGTACCGCGAATATCTCGGGCATAGCAGCAGCCTCTCGAACACATTCACGCCGTGAATTTCACGGCGATAATCCACGCTTGCCCGGCATAGATGGAGGATTCTCTGTCTCTGAGAAAATCAGTTTTACAATTATTCTGATTTCTGTTGGAGTATCTGTGTTGAGAGATAAACTTAATTATGGAAAACGTGAATGGATAGCACAATTCACGATGGGTGATGAGTAATGCGCACTATTGTTGGGACAAATTGAAGCACGACGAACTGAGCCGCACAGAGGCATATATTACCTGCCAGATAACAATCATGAGCGAGAGAAACCAAAGCCAACGTAGCCAAGGGAATAACCCACAATGAAAGACATGAGAAAATACCGAGAGGATGGTGCAACGTCATCGATAATAGACGGGGTCAAGACAGCGAAGGCAGCCTCACCAAATCCGGTAGGTGTTTGACAGGCAAGGATAAAAAATGAGCTTGGTAACGTCGCAATGAGGATACTCGACACAACCTAGACAAGGAGGCCGATGCAGATCGATCGAATGAAGTGAAGAAGATCAGATGGACCCTGGCCCAGGGTCGCTGGCGCCTAGCAGGCTACAAGACGAGACTTTATCCGATATGAATGACGAAGTGCGGCACTTGTATTGACTGTTCAGGAAAATCATATATACATGCGTCTTTGTTATAGTAGCAACTTTCAAGTGTAAGCCCATCATTCGTCCAGTATGATTACAACAACGCCCAGTCTCGGGAGAATGATTCCTAGAGAATCAGTTCCTGCGCACACACAATACTCCCGGAGTGCTTTAGTACTAGTTGGAACATCACCGAAATATGAAATGTAGTCCTGGAGATGAAGCTCGTGGTCCGCCGCGGCAGTGGTAGTGTTCGGTCGCTGGACATAGCCCCGCGGTGAAGAGTGGATCCTGCTAGGAGGGAATGGGGTGGTCTGGTCTGCTCCAGCTGTTCGTTCTGGCTACGCTTAGCGTAGTACGCTAGTACTATACCTTTCTCCTAGGGCTTCTGCTACAAGTGTCTTTTGATAGGATTAACGAAGGTTATCACAACACAACTCGAATTTAAGCCAAGATGGCTACGGACATTCTTGACACTTAGCAACAACGAATTGCACCGAACCCGCATGCCCGATTCTAGCTAAAGCATCCGTACGCATGCACAAGCAGGTGGTGACACCTTTGTCGCACAGACAGTGCGAAATCTACCATGCTATAAACTTGAAAATTATGAGCTTAAAATGATAACTCTAGGTAAAAAAAGCAAAGCCTTGATCTATAATGACGGACCCAGAAATCAAGAGTCTCGATCATACCGGGCTCATCATCCCACTCAACGTCAACCCGACCCGAGGCACGCATATCACGCACTGTCCCCTCAACCATCGGCGCACAGGTCGTCGCCGTTAAGACTAAACTACATCATATAAGACTCTAAATCTCATATCAATCAAACTTTCATATCAAAGAAAATGAAACCGGGCAACTCGTAGATAATCGGATCAGACGATGATGAGTCAGTCCCATCATTTGTACGATTCTGACAATGGATCTCTTTCACTAACCCTTTTAGATTGGCCAATTTTAAGCTTAGAAGCCCACACTAACAAACTTAAAAAATACTCCAAGTACGTTTCACTGATCCTTCAGCCTTGAGAGTAAGGGGACTAATTTTAAGAATTAGAGTAAGACTTACTTACTCAGTTGGTACGAACTAAGCGAGATATTGCAAACTCACTGGAATCTTAAGATTCATCTTGTGCGCGAAAGTGAACCACCCTCGGTGCATTCCATACCTTTCTGTCCGAGAATCATCTTCTAATACATACACTAAACTTCACTATGGATGATACAAACAATGTGGCCGAGTACGTTGATATACTGAATGAAGTATGCCTCGCCGAGCAACAGCAGGTCGACAACGTCGAGCACCCTTTGGCTGACTGCATCAATCCAGTCTATGCCATCAGCGACGATGAGTTCTACCATCAGTACCGTTTTCACAAGAGGGATGCTTTGCGAGTGGTCGAGGCATTCGAGGCTTATCTACCTCCGGCCCACAGTGCGAACAGTGCTCCACCTTTCCTCCGAATACTGTACGGTCTTCGGTATTTCGGATCCGGGAATTGCTACTGGTGCCCCGATAGCATCGTTGGGATGTCTGCTTCAACCAGCTTCCGCTACGTTCAAGATGCCACTCGTGCTTTCCACGCCCCAGAAATGATTTGGAGATTCGCTTTAGTACGCAGATTATCCAGCTCTTTCGAGTACTTCTCCACACCAAAATTCGTACTATACACTTTATTAATTTCATCAGCCACCTTGACCAGAAGGAAACAGCTTGACGCACCATATCGATATATAGCGGACTGATTGGATGACCACAAGGTTGATTCTGTGAATCTCGAAAACCTTAAGTCATTAGAATTGTCGTTGATCAGAACTTTATCGTTGAGGAGAAGATGTGCGCTTCAGATGCTCCTCGAGTTGACTCGGAACACAACAACATCGTGGACGCCGAGCGGCGAGCGTACTTGCGTACAATCTAAATACGATCGAAGATAGGAGATATGGGGATATTGTTAGATAGCGTAGACGACAAAACGACGGGGAAAAGGGTAAAAAAGACCACCAAGGCTGGAGAAGTTCGACAACCAAGACCGACAGAACCTTGCAGGTGGTCAGGTCATGATCCATGAGCGAGATGAAAAGGCTCCACAAGATCCCGCACCGATGTGAGAGTATGGGACGCATCTCTATCGACAATGACAGCTGCGCGCGTCGCAGTGACAATCGTTCGGACAACTATTGCAATTGGGCAGGTGGAGCCTACGGCCGAGTAGGGATCCCTCTTGCGGGATTCTCTCACGGATACCACAAGCAGCCATGATGGTCGCGGCGAGGACAACAATGAAGAAGCGCATGGGTGAGAAGTGGATAGATAGACTTCGTCGTAAAGCTGAATACGGGAACCGATGCACAAGCTCGCGATGATCAATTGAACTATCGACCAAACTCACTGAGACACCAGTTCGCTAAAGACTAGCGAACTCGTACCGCAAAGGTCACGCGCACGACAGCAACCCCTCGAACACATTCACGGTGATTATCTGTGCTGGACTGATGCCGATGAAAGATTCTCTGCTCGGAGAGAATCAGGTCTATAATTATCCTCATTTCTGTTGGAGTATCTGTGTTGCGAGTTAGACTCAATTATGGAAAACGTGAATGAATAGCCAATTCACGATGCGTGACGAGTAATGCGCACTATTGTCGGAAGTCCTGACTCGGGACGAATTGAAACACGAGAAACTGAGGTCCACAGAGGCATATAACCTCCATAAGTGTAAGAAACCAGTGCCAACGGTAAGAGCTGTCACAGATCAGGTAAGTAACTGAGAATGGTTATCCTTGCACTCTAGGAGTTATTTGTGTCCTTGAGCCATTAGCTATGCCCTCACACAGTTGCACGCATAAACAAAGGTTTCTCTTCGCCATGGTTGAGCTTTGGTTTGGAGTCAACTTAGGCACTCGACAACTGTTCGAGTTGTTGCCCTTTTTTTTTAATTTTGAAAATTTTTTTTGGTTATTTCGTTGAATTTCAACGGTTGGAGTACCCTTGCCGGCGTGACACGTCTATCCCAAACACTGCCACGTTGGGCAAGACCTCTTTGCCCACGCTCTCGGATAAGTACGACCTTCCTCACCACCTAGAGGTCGTTGAAGCATGTCTGGGGGAGGCTGGTTACGCAGTGTAACTTACGCCACCGTTGAGGAAGCATGTTGTAGGAGTCGATGATGAGGGCTCCTGATGTTCCCTGACTGTCTATTCGTAGACAAGCAGTTGTGCGCCACGCATTGTGCGTCTCCTTGTGTTGTGGGTCCAGTTTGCCTGCACCCTTGTAATCTCATCAAACCTTCGCCTTCCTCAGTATAGCGAATGAGCCCAATATCGATTACTGTGCTGCTAAGTCTGTGGTATTCGTACAGAACTTAAGTGCAGGTAGTGCGCTTATTGTTATTGTCTTAGGGTCGTAGTATTGGTTGCTCTAGCTCGAGTTCCCTTGTTGTGTTGTTCTTAGAGTTCATCAACCGATACCCCGACACCTTTTTGGTAGCAGCTCCTTGTTACGAACGATAACAACTACGAGATGGTTGGTTCAGCTTCTGGTGCTACCCCCACTCTGTCCCGAGCGGAGGGGGAGGGCCCTCGGGCCCCCTTGGTGCGTCGTGATCCTGAGGAGGCAGCTCAGGAGGCCTATGACGAGTTCATTCGTGCTGAGTTGGGTGAGGCGGCGGCTAAGCAGGCGGCCGAGATGGCGAGGCGTTCAGTTGAAGAGTATAACCGCGTGTTAGAGGAAAGGTCACCCCCTCAAGCGACCCCAACACTGAAGCATCAAAGTATGGTTACTGAGTCGGCTGAGGACAACAAGCAGGCCGAGTTATCACAGACGAGAGGCATGTTGGCGCCTCTCCTCACTGGTCAGACGTTGCAAGTGGTGACCGCCCAGATGCCGGAAAGATATGATGGAGTCTCCGACCTAAGGATCTGGTTCCGAAGGTTCGAGGCAGATGCCAGGGCGGCCGGTTGAAACAAGCACATGATGGCCGAGAGATTGGGTAGCTTCTTCAGGGATTCCTATTTTGACACTTGGGATGAGAACGCTGGCAAGAAGGACTTCGCTGCTGATCGAGAGATGATGCTACAACTCTTTGACCTGATTCGTCCCGATGAGGCCCTGGAGAAGTTCCACGCCTTATCTTGGGACGGGAAGGGTCATGTCAGTCAGTTCATGGCCATCTTGAAGCGGGCCCTGGAGGAGTACGACAAGATGTTACCAGCGGAGGGGAAACTTCCCCCTTTGGTTAAGAGTCGTATGTTGTTGGATCGGCTTATTGCCTGTGCCCCGGAGGGAGCCAGGCCGGTTTTGAGAAGACGTCGACCTAAGGGTATCACTGAGATCTGCCAGATTATAGAGGATTACAGAGGGAAGCAGTCTCGGACGGCCAAGCACGCTGCGGCGGCCGTGCCCGAGGATAAGCATGCGTGCCCCGGGGCGGTGGCACAACCTTCCCCAGACAAGGACAAGCAGTTGGCTTCGCTTATCGAATCTCAGACTAAGGCTATCAACGCTATGCATACTTCGCAGAATGCCCTGCTTGGCTCCCTGAAGGACATCCTCAAGGCTCAACAAGATCCTGGTCGTAAGGATAAGGACATGCGTGCAGGGCCCACGCAGCCCAGGAGACAGCTGATGCCGTGCGGGCTCTGTGAGGGGAAGCATGCATCCTACAACTGTCCTCATAAGAAGTTCAGTGAGGGTTGCAATATCTGTGGTTCTAAGGCACACCTGTCCCGCTCGTGTCCTGAGCGTTCAGCCCTGCTGGAGAAGATTAAGAAGGGTGTGACGCCGGAACAGGGAAATTAGCGGGGCGGCCGCCCAGCAGCCCGCGGTCGCCAGTCGCTAAAGTCTTGACCCCTGATGATCATAAGAAAACATTGACTTTGTACCCTTTTGGAGATGATTCTGGTCTATTCTTATCTGTACAACTTGTGTCAAATTTTCAGTCTGTTGGCCCTGTTCGCTGTCTCGTGGATACTGGCTGCTGTGCCACGATGGTAGCACGTGATGTGATTCCTGCTGGCTGCGAAGTTAGCTCCGTGAATGGGCCGTCGTTGATTACAATAGATAAGTCCTCTTGTAAGATTATTGGTGTGGCAACATTAGCGATTAATCTGATTATAGCAACAGGGGTGGGGGAGAGAGCCCGCTCCACTGTATACATGGGCAATTTCCGTGTTTCATGCAAAAGTACGGTACGGCGTACGGAATATTTCTCGGGTTCGTACGGAGTACGGTACGGAGTACGGATGAAATATCACGAAGTTCACCTAGGATTATCCTAGTAGGATAGTTATCGTGAAGTTCACGTTGTGAACCCGGACCGATTCATATCAGCGCAACATTACAACCCAAATGAGACTGTCGACCTGCGTCTATCACAGTGACAGGTAGAACCACTCAAAAAGCCCGCGAATAACCGCGGGCTTAGGCAGTAATCAAGGAATAATCAAGTAACGCGCATGCGTGCTCATTCGAAAATTGGGCATACGTGTTACTTCGTGTGTTCGTGAGTTCGCGAAATGCAACGCATTTAATGCATCCGTAGCATAACGCAACACTTCGCGCGGAGGGGTTTAGGATGCTGGAGTTTCGGCACTTATCTTAAGCATGATTTGAAGATAAAACAGTCTCACATTCCGTACTCCGTACTGGCCGAGCCACAGGATGGTACGGATTACGGCTCCGTACTCCGTACCGTACTCCGTACTGCCCGTACTCCGTACAGGTGCCCATCTATACTCCACTGCTGATGAGTTGAGTATCCCCTTTTTGATTACAGCTTTTATTGTAGAATCGTTGGCGTTCCCCGTGATTTTAGGGCACGACTTCTTAAAATATTTTCAGCTAGATATATTGTATTCGGAGAAACCGGTGCGTATTATTGGTAGGAATACGAAGGCAGGCCCGCCTGGTATTCCATGGTTGATGCGAGATGCATTGGACGCCGTTGACAGAGGTGTACGGTCGAGGCGGTGTTGCCAGGGTGGCAACGCAACCTCCTATATAGATTCTGTGTTGAGCGGTCCTCCTTCGGTGACGGAGCCGGTGTCTCCAAGGATAGCTTTGATGGCTGCTCAACAACGTCAAGTGCTAGAAACTACTGGGAGATTGGTAACGCAAGGTGTCCAGACCGTTGACTCCGAGGAAGAGGTGGTCACAGGTGTGGTCGATATAGGAAGCCAGACCGAAAAATTCTTGGTTGAGGACAAGGCCAATACTGAGGCATCGGGAAAGGCTGTGGGCGAGGATGTGGCCTACAGTGATACGTCGAAGGGTACGGTTTCGGTGCCTGTTCAGGATTGGTGCGAGAAGCCTTGTCCCGAAGAAGAGATAGAAATCGACTGTGTGAGAGAGCCAGAACATTATTGCGTGGGATGTGCAGCTGCATTTGCCCATTTGGATGTCTCCACCTTCGATCGCCCTTGTGATATTTGCCCTGCCCCGACTGGGTGTGCCGGCCTGAGAGCGGATGGGCCTCTCATGACTAATGAGGAGTTAGAGAGAGCCAACTTGAAGCTCCCGGCCGAATCACAGGCTAGAGTTCCCGGCACGTCTAAGCCGAAAGGGAAAGAGCTTATTAAGGGAGAGGAGTGGCCCCCAGCTGCTTGGGAGCATGTAGATGGTTTCGAAGGAGATGATATATGCCAAGATCCCTTACGGTTTGCGGTCCCAGAGTTTCTGGACGAGACGGTCAAGTTACCAGATATATGTGAGAGCCCTACGGAAGTGCAACAACCAGTTGCCGACTTATGTGAGGAGTTCAAGGACCTCTTCGTTCTACGTCCCGGACGTTGTACTCAAGCTGAGCACTCGGTCGAGACTGGGACGACTCGTCCGATTTGTGAGAGGATAAGGCCTATTCCTCACAAATATCGGGATGAGATTTCGGCCTTACTGAAGGAGATGGAGGAGCTTGGTGTTATTAGAAGGAGCACGTCGGCATGGAGGTTCCCGTGTGTCTTCGTCCCGAAGAAGAATGGTAAAGTCCGGATGTGTATTGACTACAGGAACCTCAACAAGGCATGCCATACTGAGGCGTACCCTGTGCCCCGGCCAGACGACGTACAGGAGCACCTGGCTGGTGCACGAGTGTTTTCGACTCTCGATTTGAGAAGTGGTTACTGGCAGATCCCGGTTCGCAAGGAGGACCAACGGAAGACCGCCTTCTGCCCCGGTCCAGGCTTCCCATTGTATGAGTGGGTGATGATGCCCTTTGGTTTGGCAAGTGCCCCGGCTACCTTCCAGCGATTGATGGATGCCATCCTGGAACACCTCCCTTTTGTGAGGGTCTACCTTGATGACGTCCTGATCTTTAGTAGATCCGATGAAGAGCATCTGGAGCACTTGAGGATCGTCTTTGAGCTTCTACGGGCGGCTGGTATGACGGTGGCTGCTGAGAAGTGCGAGTTTATGCAGGATCGAGTGACCTATTTGGGTCACATGTTCAATAGTACTGGTATGAGTCCCGACTTGGGTAAGGCCGAGGTTATCTTACGGTGGCCTCTACCTCGGACTGCCCCGGCCCTTCGATCCTTCTTAGGGCTGGCAGGGTACTATAGGAATTTTGTCCCGCACTTTGCGGATAGGTCTCGGTGTCTGTATGAAATTGTGAACTACTGCACGAAGAACAAGGTTGTGGAACTCGGAAATCAGTGGGGCAAGGAGGAAGAGCTGGCCTTCAATGACCTGAAGCAGTGGATAGCCAGTCTCCCCTTGTTAGCCTACCCAGATTTCTCGAGACCATTTCAGCTCATGACCGACGCCAGCGATGTAGCGATAGGGGCCGTGGTGGAGCAGGACGGAAGGCCTCTAGCCTTCTTCAGCCAGTCTCTGACCCCTACCCAGAGAGTCTGGCCGGTGTATGAGCGGGAAGCCTATGCTGTCTTCAAGGCATTGGAACGGTTCAGACCGTTGCTCTGGGGTTACCATTTGGAGTTGGTCGTCTTTTCGGATCACAAGCCTTTGGAATGGATACAGACGGCTACGACGGCGAAAGTGCAACGCTGGCTCATTAGTATGTCCCAGTTTAAATTTAAGGTATTCTACAAGAAGGGTAAGCACAACGTCGTAGCTGATGCCTTGTCCCGGATTACTACATCCGACGACAAAGTGGCAGAGCCAGATCTCGGAGCACTCCAGCGTGAACTGCAAGGTACACCTGCCCTGGTGACGGACAAAGTATTGACTGAGGGCAGGGAGGCCGATGCGATGGAGAAGGACAATTTTGCCCCTGCTTGTGTTCTCACCCTCTGTGAGCAATGGTCAATAGCTGATTTGGTACGTGAGCAAGAGTTGGATCCTGTTCTTCGGGTAGTGAGAGACAGGGTCCGGACAGGAGAGCCTTTAGCGAAGGATGAGCTCAAGGATCTAGAGTATCGGCCCTATCGGAGAGTTTGGCTGACCCTACGGGTTCATGACTCTGGTCTGTTGGTACGAAGAGTGCAGATTAATGAAGAGGCGACTTCGAGGTTTGTTCCAGTGGTCCCCGAAGGTCTCCGACGACAAGCACTAGATCGGTTTCATGAGGAGGCGGGACACTTTCGACGAGAGCATATGGTGGCAAGGTTGAGACGTACAGCTTACTGGCCAGGTATGAGTAAGGATATTAGTGAGTTCTTGTTGCACTATGAAGGCTGTGCACCCCATAAGAATGTCTTGCTACCCCACTTGCCCTATGTCCCGTATCCGGTTGGTTCGCCTTGGCATACAGTAGCTATCGATTTCCTTGCGGTGGCTCCCGGCAGAAGCGGTGTATCTAAACTATTGGTAGTGGTGGACCACTTCACGAGGTGGGCCGAAGCTGTCCCCGTGGCAGGTGAGAGTGCTGCGGAGGCACTGAAGGCCCTACTGAATCTCTTTTCGATTCATGGTCCCCCGGTTAGGATACTCTCAGACCAGGGGAGTGCGTTCGAGTCGCAGCTGTTCAAGGACGTCTTGGCTCAGCTAGGTATAGCTAAGTCTCGTACTTCGGTCTATCATCCCAATGCAAATGGTCATGTGGAGAGGTTTAACAGCACCATTCTCAATTTATTGAGGACTCATGTGACGAGGGTGGATAGTAATACTATCATAGTATCCACTGGATACCTGGCAGGATCACTTACGGTCAGTGTTGTGGGCCTACAACACTACACCTCATAGTGTGACTGGGTCTGCCCCATTTTTCCTAATGTATGGGCGGGAGCCGCCTACATTATTTTTCCCAGCTTTGGAACCTTACGTTGATTACGTGTTTGATCCACAAGGTTATCAGCGCCATTTGTCTAGTATTCGGGCTTGTATCGAGGACAATGTCGACGAGTGGGTTACTGCTCATGGTGCTGGGTTCCAAGCTCTGAAAGAGAGGGAGAAGATTGCTGCTGCACGTCGACATTTTGTGGGACAACGTGTAAGGCTGAGGATACACCATCCTAACAATTTGCCAGGTCGGAAGTTATTACCGAGATGGCAGTTGAATTGGTATATTGCTAAGTTCGTCCCGGGAACACACTTGAAGACGGTGGTCCTTCGACACTACCCCTCCAAGGAAGAGAAGGTTATCTCTACTGACTATATAGTTCCCGATCCGGTACAGCCTGCCGATGTCCCGGTAGAGCTTGGCATTGTTAGGTTGGATCCTCCCGTAGAAGAGGGGCCGCGTATAGAGCAGTTTCCATTTCGTGATGAGTTGGTTCGCTCGGCTGCTTCTAGACGGTCTGCTAGATCTTCGGTTGTCCCGGACGTCGAAGCTCCTGCTAATCTTCGGTTGGTCGACATTCCCTATGTGTATGATGGTGATGATCTTGACCCTTTAGCAGAAAGACGAGATGATCTGCTTCCGAGACTGGAGGCACCATCGTCTGGTTCTGCACAGGTCGGTGTGCCGAGACTGGAAACCCCTATTCCAGTTCCTGTACAATTAGGGTCTGCCGTTCTCCGGTCTCCTGCCACGAGTGGGGCAGCTTCCCAGGCTACTGTTAGGTCTGGGCCGGCTGTGGTACCTGCTGGTTTGGAGTCCTCTGGTAATTCTTCCTCGTTGGGACTGGATTCTGCTTCGCAGGAATGTGGTGCCTCTAGAAGGTCACTGCCTTTCTCGGCTTCCACTCCCACCCATGTAGTGTCGGCCCCTGCAGCCGACTTCGAGCAGTAACTGCTCAGCAGTTGTTAGGTCATTCTGGGCCTTCCTCCAGGCAAACGTTAAGCGCCCCTTCTGTGTTGATCTCAGCTCAGCGTCAGCAGCTGCTCTCTGTTTCGCCAACTTTAGTCGACTCTGGCGAGACACCGTCTTTAAGTCTGGGTTCTGGATTGGTCTCGGACGCCCCGGTCTCTACAGACCCCGCTAGGAATACGTCTCAGCTTATTTTGTCGAGCTCGATTACAACATCTTCTGGTACCGATGAGACGTTACCGTTGACTCGAGGTCCAGATCCAGCACCTGCCCTTGAGGTACAAGTAGAGGAAGCGACTATTGAGTCCTTTACTGATCTCGTAATTCCTGACGAGATCCCTACTACCCCTGCTTTGGAAAGCTCCCCGGCCGCGACAGACACTCCGGTAGTCTCTGCTCGTAGTGGTGGTTCGACTTTGTCTACTCGCACTTACGCTGATGTGCTGGCTTCTAGTCCAGAGCAGGTAGAAGATTCTGTAGCGCCTCGTCGGAGTATGCGTACTCCGAGGGCACCCACGCGTTTCTCCCCCGAGCGTTATACGTCCCGTGGTGGTTACGCTGAGTAGGATTATCACCTACTTCACTATCTTTGCTGACTTCTGTTTTTGTTCGGCTGATGTCATCGAGTATGACCGCCGTTTGCTGGTTTCTATTATGGTCTTTGCTCTGTCCCCTTGACCGGTCTTAAAATGAGGTCCCTTATGGCCAACATTTTAGAGGGGAGGAGAGCTGGGGCTATCTTATTTTGGTTTCCCGAGGTTGGATTATGTTATATTGATGCCTGTTATCTCTACTTTTTGGTCGGTATTATTGCAATGGTCTTGTTGACCGTGGAGGAAGTATGTGGGTTATGATTGTTAGTGTGCAACGGATTTGGCTGTGCACACGTGTAGCTGCGGATGGCACGTGCACACACGCACAAGATGTTGGAATAGGCGCATCCGACTGGGGGGGGGGCTCGAATTCGATGCTTGCAGGGACGCCTGCATGGCTGGATTCTGGGTCCTTGACCTCGGAAGGAATGGTTGCGAGATTCGGATGAACACTGATGTTCTCGGAATGCGCACTGAGTATTTTGAGGTGCTCACCGTTTCTCCCGTTCTTGGTGGAGCCGCGCCACACTGGTTTACGTTGAAACGGCTATGGGAATCTCGCTTGTGATCACACTGGTGGTTTGTTTATCTATGAGTATGGATTGTAAGTGGTTACCGTTGGGCTGATTCCCCCACTTTATGGTATCGGTTATAGCCATTTGTTCTGCCTTTGGTATGTTGCACGACCCGAGGATATTGATCCATGTTCCGACTTTGCTCGAGTCGGGGGACGACGAAGAGTTCTATGTCAGCTGTTTTCATTCTGTACTCGATGTCTGCCCCGATTTGTTCCATTGTGAATGACTTCGTTGGAGCTATCGTGGCCCCAATTAGGAAAGTGGATCTTTTGCTTATTCTTTGTCCCGTAGTCTCGATATTCATGTATCGTGGCTCGGTTGACCTTTGCTAGACTCTATCTTTCCGTCAGCTATTGTCATCGTCCTTATTATTGTGAAGTCTGAGGGTTGGCTCAGGTTTTGGGGGGGACGAGGTGTTGTGGGTCCAGTTTGCCTGCACCCTTGTAATCTCATCAAACCTTCGCCTTCCTCAGTATAGCGAATGAGCCCAATATCGATTACTCTGCTGTTAAGTCTGTGGTATTCGTACAGAACTTAAGTGCAGGTAGTGCGCTTATTGTTATTGTCTTAGGGTCGTAGTATTGGTTGCTCTAGCTCGAGTTCCCTTGTTGTGTTGTTCTTAGAGTTCATCAACCGATACCCCGACACTTGTTACAATTAGGAACGTGAGCATGCGTGCATGGCATTCATTGTAGTCAAGTGAACTAAACTATTGGTCTTATCATTTCATTTCTCTAGTCTAGACTTATCTATATTCAAGATAATTCGAGTGTCGTTAATCATCCATTTAACATTCTGTAGAAGAAGCTCATCAGCCCACTCAACCGAAGGTAAATCTGCTAGCCAACGTCGCAAACACTCTAACAGACAACGATGCCTTCTTTCATAGAAACCACCAGACTGACCATTGAACCTATTTAGAGTCTAAATTTTAGACCCAAATTCTCCATCACTCAGAAGTTCAGAGTCTGAACCTCTCGTGGAAGGCCATTCCTCACAAAGATGATCGATAAGCCTCTCATAAAGGCAGAGGCATCAGTCGAGTCAGTTATCGACGATAACTTATCGTGAAGTCCAAATAGCCACTGAAAGCATCAGTCGCAGTTAAAAATAGGCTACCATGTTTCACAGCAACGCCATCAACACCAACACGGTGCCACGGCTTCAAATTGAAGCCTTCAATGCCTTAGCATCGGGTAAGCGAGTAGAATAAGGAACCTCTATAGGCCCATTACTGTCAACTCGCTGGCAAGTAGGACATACACTCTTAGCCCAACGACACTTTGTAGCCATCTTGGAAAACCAACACCAACCTTGCAACCAGGACTTCAATTGCCTACCAGAGGCATGAGTCCTTTTATGGCTCTCAGAAACCACTCAATTTATCAAAGTCGATAATATGACTAACTGACATTGAATACGGCCAACTTCGTCAAACCGCTGCTCCCGATAAAGCATGCCATCGACCATAGTGAAACCTGTTTGGCTTTTGAAAGACTCACATGCCGGACAGATCCTCTGATCGGTTTTCAGCTTCTCAAGATCGAAGTTGATGTCAATCAAACAAGGAGCAATGACGAAACCCACGGCATCATGCTGCTCCTCATCATCCGAAACCATCCGCAACATATCAGCTATAACGCGAATCGCGTTACGCGATAGACCACTATGCATTGCGTGCCAATTTGATATTCAAACTTGAGGGATGTGCGTTTTCTATTCCGAGATTAATGATAGTGATCAACTTTTCGCTATCACAGTCTCAAAAGGTTACTTTCTTCACATCACATGTTTATAGCAATGTTCATGCGATGTATTTCCACATCGATTCTCATGAATCTCGGAAAATAACACACATTTTTTATTTCACATCCCCATCTAAAACCGACATCCTCTTCGGACGCCGACCTCGGCAAGTACACCCGTCCCCGCCAACCTGAGGGTCCACGCAAAGCGGGAATCGATTAGTCCTTGTCGTCAATATGCCATTTTGGACGCTGAGCTCGTCACTAGGTAGCCCTTGAGAGCTCCACAGTGTCACCTCTACATCAGACGTCAATAACGCTTCCAATCTGAAGGGAACAAACCTCCAATGGAAATACAACAGACCAAGATTCGTACTTGAAGTCCCTGCTAGTCGGTATGTCCGCTTCAACGACTCTACCAAGCCAGTCACCGTAGAGCATCTCATTTCTAAACTGATGATTGAATGGTCCCGCATAGGAAATAAAGGCCGACCCAAGGAGGCAGTCCCCAACTAGCCGAACCTTCTTATCACCTAATCAACACCGACCCCTAAAACCGGTTGGAATGAGAGAAACTCTATATCAAACTCTTATAATATCAATCTTATTTTCCACCATTGTAAATATGGAGCATTCTAATTCTATATCACCTTATTAGGAACAAACATTAAGTTTTTGATGAATTATAATTATTAAACTCAAAAAGTTAGTCAAGTAACCAACTTGACAAATTCATTTCTCACCGCGAGCGCTACCCCCAGCTCCCCAGCCAGCCCAGTTGCCCACCTTGTAGAGTGATATCCGTCGACCATCTCTTCCTTTCCGACGCCAAACCATCGATCAGCTTCGATGCAGCCTCCAATTTCCTCTGCATCGCCTCCGCTTCCTCCTCCAACGACTTCAATACCGCACTTTGCTCAACTTCCTCCTTGCTCAATCTTTCAATATTCTCAGCTAACGTCCTCAGCTCCTCGTTAATCCTCTCCGAGGACGGTCGAGTCGACCGTCCTCGCCACCTCATGATACTTGATCATCGCTTTCACCCACTGCAGGAGGCCAAAGCCAGCCTTGGAGATATTCTTCGTATTATCCCCTTCGAAAACATCCTTATCCTTAGCAAGGAGCTCCTTGATCTTCTTAATCTGACACACCCATCGCTCTGCAAGCGATACGCCAAAACCTCCAATTCGAAAGCCTTTCCCGTAAAACTTCCTCAGAAACCGAGCCCAGTTCTCGATTCAATAGTCAGAAATTCTGCGCTAAGTTCCGGGCTCTTGAGTCTCAAGACTCGAGAAGGTCTTCGTGCATCTCGGGCGACGACTGAATCAGTTGAACTGATCAACTGAAGTCCGGCTAATGAAATTCATTAAATGAACTCAGGCCACTGACATGTTCTATGCTATCAGCCCTAGCTGGGTTCATCAACAAAGGTTTGTGGGCCGTGACAGAGTCATTTACGCGACTATTGGCCAGACGGAAAAAGCGCGACGTACGATATCGGTATAGCGGATTGATTAGACAGCCGCAAGGTTGACCCTGTCGACATCCCGGAAACCTTGAGTCAATAGAATGGTCGTTAATCGTAGCTTATTCGTTGAGTTGAAGATGTGCGCTTCAGATGCTCTTCGAGACTCGAGTCGAATCAACTCATTTGACTCGGAACACAACGACATCGTGGGTGCCGAGCGGCAAACGTTATGTTTGAGACGTACCTGCGTACAATCTGAATACGAGAGAAAATAGGAGATATGTGAAAATGACGAGTGTTGGACAGCGTAGACGACGAAACGGCGGGGGAAAATGTTGAAAAGAGATCACAAAGGCTGGAGAAGTTCGAGAACCAAGACCGACAGAACCTTGCATGTAGTCAGATCATGATCCATGAGCGAGAAAAAAATGCTCCAGAATATCCCGCACCGATGTGAGAGTATGGGACGCATCTCTATCTACAATGACAGCTGTGCGTGTCGCAGTGACAATCGTTTGGACAACTATCGCAATTGGGCAAGTGGAGACTACGGCCGAGTAGGGAACCTTCTTGCGGGATTCTCTCAGTGATACCACAAGCAGTCATGATGGTCGCGGCGAGGACGAGGATAGAGAAGCGCATGGGTGAGGGGTGGATAGACAGAATTCGTCGTAATACTGAATACCGGAACGACTGCAAAAGCTTAAAACGATCAATTGAACCATCGACCAAACCCTCTGGCGTCACAGACGACTGAGACACCAATTCGTTTACGGCTAGTGAACTCGTACCGCGAATATCTCGCGCACGGCAGCAGCCCCTCGAACACATCCACGGTGATCATCTGTGCTGGACTGATGAAGGATTCTCTGCTCGGAGAGAATCAATTTTATAATCATTCTGATTTCTGTTGGAGTATCTGTGTTGCGAGATGAACTTAATTATGGAAACCGTGAAATTCACGGCGTGAATGGATAGCACAAGCCACGATGCGTGACGAGTAATGCGCACAATTATTAAGACGAATTGAAACATGAATAAATGAGGTCCACAGAAGCAGATAACAACCAAGGAGTTACTCCTGATGGTACTTAAATATAGACTAGCAAGACAAGAAATCGCTCTAGATTAAAGTGATTCCTTGCCTTGCTATTAGATTGCCTAGACTAGAGCCTGTAGTGCAGTTCGGCATCGTGCCGATAGCACGTGTCCGCATACCACAGCTTGTGCAGACGCACAAGGACGTAGCTTCTTTGTTCATAGTACCGTACTAATAGTACTATTCGTACTATTAGTACGAATACATATGAGCTTCATACGTCTGTCATTGAGAATGACAATGACTCATTGTGCTTTCCTTAGACTCGTATTATCGTCCATGGCTCGCATCGGAGATCACGTATTTCCCCCTCAGCCTCGGATAAGCCATTGTTGACTTCACCTCGTCTCATGTTCAATCAGATGATGAACGGTGAGTAGAATCTCAGTTTGACTATTCCCGATCGGAATATGTCATGGATATTTCCTCAGGAACTCCTCTCAACTCTGTGGATGCGGGAATTGCAGCAACGTCGCAGAGCTTGGAGCCCAAACGCCTTGTCTTATAACAAGCATTCGTGAGGCCTAAGAGATCAACTCCACGCATCATGGAGTATTTGCAGCGTGTTGGCCGGCTGATTGGTATTCCCCAAGCTCTTTAGGAGTCGGGTTCCCTGTTTCTGTTTCTGTTTCTAATTATGTTCCCGATAAGTCGGGAATCCCGACTCGGGATTGGTCTGTGCTCCACGCACATGTCGTTATTCGGTGACAATAATTATTATTCTACAGTAGACTGCGATTGGCTGTCTCGTGGTTAACTAAAGTAGTTGTCCAGACTCTGGACTTCAAAGGCTTTGGACCAAAGCAATAGATTAAAATAGCTCATCGATACATCAGCGCGTGCGCCGAGGGCGCCACGAGCTGATACTCACAGCGTATAATCCGCTAACTTCCCTGAAAGCCGAGATAACGTCTATTCAGTGCATAAAATATCCTGGACTAGGATTGACAATCACTTACCAATCACCGTTATCAGTCGCGCGGCGCGGCTGCAATCGATCAGATGATAACATCATGATATGCAGTTAATCTTAATAAGATTATCTTATCACAACGTGATATCGCCAATTGAAGCCGCACGTTCACCCCGTGTATTTTCACGCATTAAGTACGCGTTAATTTTCATTTAATTTTCTGAAAACACGTAAAATAACGCGTAAGTTGACGTGAATCACGCGTGTAGTTCCATTATGTGCTCTGATCCTGCCGGAACTATGATTCATTGACAATAGCTGAATAGATCCTCACTTCCGAAGGGAAGATTTCTTCCGCCCACGTGATCTTCAACTCAGATAAATTACCCACTAATGTCTATCGCCTCGAAATATGTTCTTCTGGCTCTGCTGGTGAATGTGGTGATCCCTGTTCTGGGAGAAGGTTTAAGGACGTCGGCCCTTACCGAGAGTGGTGAAGTCCTACCTGTGCTCTCCGACAACGATGAGGATGTCCTGTGGAAGGAGCTTGTTGACCGGGTGCGTACCGAGTTGATCTCTCCAGCATTCAATCACACTGACATCCCAGTAGCCTTAGTTACTGCGGCTGAGAACGCTGATGATCCTTTCTGGACACTGATACAGTATGTAATGAAGGATACGTTCGGTCCTCAGGGTCTCGATGTCCGATCGGTTCTTTCCATGGTTGCTGAGGATGATTCGCTATCCGTGTTGAAGTATCTCTCAGCTTATCTGGTCAGTGATACCCCGCCCTCGCAGGACAGCGTCGACTACTCGCAACTCAGGACTCGCGACCTCGCAGTACAAGATCCCGAATCGAATCCCATACTGGCCTGGTTTGCTAGTATCTTATCCCTCTTACGATGATCATCTCATACATTTGCTTCGCATTCATCTGCGACCACGGATCTTTTGTAAGTTTTTGTATAGCCTCAAGGCAAGATGACGACTATCGTTCGTATCGAGCTAGTTCTTCTCAACATTTTCATGGCTCAGAAGACATGTGTTGATTTTAGTGGGATTGTGAATATTGCTGAACTTCTTCCATCATACTGACGATACAATACGGGCCACCCTAATTTGGCGAGCTATACTGACAAGAGTTACCCTCGCATTGCAACAATATCATCTCATTTACAAGAGTTCACCTGGGATCCGTAACCCCCTCTAACAGCATATATAAGACATGATTCTCAACAGAAGATTTCAACCCCGATCCCTATCGTGAGCTAACCCATCTCTCAGGAATAGGCTCCTTCCCAAATTCTGAGTCATCAGCATAGCGTTGGTGACGTCAAAGTTGGTACGTCAAAGTTACGCAGCCAGCGGGCAATCGGGGTATCCAACATTCCTCTCTCGAGTTCCAATAGCACTCCCAGGATCCAGTAAGTGGATTCTAGTTTCACATGTTGAATCCAATCATTGGCGACCAGGGCAGAATTTCTGACGACCAAGTGGTCAATTGCTGGTTTTGCAAACTACTTTTGCTCTCCATAGATGAGTTCTGCATATGATTACCTCTCGTGAGTCCAGGAAACGCAATTATCAGAACTGCATGGGGAAACTCAGTGAGGTGCAGTGTGATCTACAGAGTCCTAGAGTTTTCCCGAAGTCTCTTCATCATATGGGACATCCGAATACTTCAGAGCAGACTGGAAAATTCCCGACGTCAGAGCCCTGCGACCTATCAGGCGACGAGGCGAGACTTCTGATGATCCTGTACAGTGATTGTATTATAGTCGTCGAGCACATTGATGTAAAATTTCCATTGAAAATGACCATCTTATATGAGTGACCTTACACGATACCTTAAATGAAGATGGATCCATATCGCGGTGGAGTTCTCGCCTGTAACAGGTGACCTGTTTGACCAGAGCTTCAGCAAGTTAAAACTCATGTAAGCCAGCGACATGCATAGTGTGGCGTGGAGAACATCGGCACTCAGTGAACTTATAGATGAAGATCACCTCGCGAGTAGCTGGGTTTACGAGACATGCTTGATGGTGCCTACAACGACTTCTAGTGGAACTTTCCTACAGAATTTGCAGTAGTCCTTCGAGGCAGACCCTCACAGCGCGATGTTGTGTAATAATGATCTTCAAGATAAGAAGAGTCTATCTTCTGTGTTATTGGTATTATCCTCCGTAGTGTTGGTGAACATCCGGAGTTAATCCATTAACAGACGTAAAATGCGTCTCAGTGGAGCCCCACAATTACGGGGAGTGCAAAGCACTCCCCTGACACAACTATCCTGTCCCCCTGGTCTGTGTGACGCTATGAACAAGAGTGAGTACCTCACGATTGAGCTAGAAGCTAAGATGTAAGGTCCTTCTGTCTTTGTCTACTACACTTTATTAATGTATTGGTGTAGGCACGGTTTTTTTCCACCATTTTTTTAACCTTCCTACGGGGGAGGCTGGTAGCGGCTAGCCCAAAGAGGCGTTGTAGTCGAGCTACCAAAGCCACCAGCTCGTTGCCTTCAGATGCTAATGCACTGCCAGGCGCGGTCTCACCCAACTCCCTCGTAGAAGGATACCACTCAACTGAGTGACTGAAAACTCTACCCTGCTCTAAACTAAGTAGCTGTTGTGTTTACTATGCCAGGCGAAACGGTGCGAGAAT